GGTGTGGGTGTGGGTGTGGGTGTGGGTGTGGGTGTGGGTGTGGGTGTAGGTGTGGGTGTGGGGTGTGGGTGTGGGTGTGGGTGTGGGTGTGGGTGTGGGTGTGGGTGTGGGTGTGGGCGTGGGTGCGGGTGTTTACAAGAGACAATCATCCAACCACACCCACACCCACACCCGCACCCACACCCACAACCACCCACACCCACAACCACCCACACCCACACCCACACCCACACTCACACCTAGGCATGCACCCAAACCGTTTGGGTCACTTCTGCCCAAATAAGGAAAAATGCCCTTATTTGCTGAACCATGCTATACAACAGTTTTTCTTCAGTGAAAAACTTAAGTAGGAGGATGACACTATAGAATACCAAAAGAGAGATTTCGGCAACCTTCTTAGACTAAATACTAGAGTCAATCACAGAACCCAAACCCAAACCCAAACTCATTGAGTTTGGGTTTGGGGGGTTGTTCAGTTCTCTTTGAATATCTCATTGAATGAAGCAGCTCATTTGATCATTTTCCATTTAGTTGTCAAAGGCAGACTTCCTTCAATATTAATAGCGATACAATTTATTGATACAGTTCATGGTCAGTGAGATAAGTTTGAAATACCCAAATTCTTCTATTGAGTTTGGGTGCATGCCTACTCACACCCACACTCACACCCATACCCACACCCACACCCCACCCACACCCACACCCCACACCCCACGCCCCACACCCAACACCACCCAAATGTTGCGATCTCTTTAAATAGATATGACAAATATCTACAATGAAGGCAAAGATTACTCAAAAGCACTCAGATGTTAGTAAATGGCATGAAAAATATTTGAAAAACATCGTCCTACCGATCATTCTGACCTTGGTGTAGCACACAACAGCATTGGAAGTGTATGTGATTCTTTATGTGAATACGCTCTTGCCTTGGAATATTTTAATTTATCTTTAAAAATTTATTGCCATAATATTAGAATATTTGGGTCTTGCTTACGAAGACAAAGATGACTTATAACAAGCACTCGCATTTTATAAACAAGCAAAAAAAAATCTTTCGACATTCCTTATCTCCTACACATTCTCGTGTTGTCGAAATCGAAAAAGATATTCAACATTTTTTTGTCAGACATGAATTAATTCTCTTCTTCTTTTGTTCGCAAACATCTTATCAACGAATACAGTTTAAATGTAAGACATGTGTATTGTTTGTTTGGAAATGTTTTCGTCAATAGAATTTTCTATTAGAAAAAAGGTGAATATGAATATGGATCATTTTTAGCCACTGTAATAGTCATGAGAAAATTCACTTCCACATTCATAAGCTTCGATTCGATTAATAATAAAAGATTAATATGAACTCGCAATATGCATCGAATCAAAATTGATAACTACGATGTACAAAACAAAATAGAAAAAAAACAGACTCAATTTAAAAAAAAGAATTGTTCCATATTGGTTTTCACAGAAATAAATGTTTTGTCAAGATATTTTCTCATTCTAGTATTATTATTGTAATTTATTTCAATGGATAGAAAAATAAAATATTCCCTAGAATTATTTCTTTAGAGGGAATTCAATCATTCGTTCAGTCACCCTATTGATGCGCTGGATGAATTGCTTTTGAATATGCTCGAATACATTTTTTATCTTCATTGTCGATTTCTAGTTGTATTAAGCCAGCACATATGGCATAGTCGTACTTTCCGCTATATGTTCGAGGATGTGGATATTTGAAAGGACGAAAGAATACAATGATACTCACTCATATACCCACATTCTATCGTATGTATTTATCCAAAGAATTTAAATTCGAACGATTTCATCACAATAAATTTTTATTATAAAAGATTTTAGAAATTATATATTTATTAAATCTTATGTACTCCATATTCGTATTGTTCAATCAATATCCGTTGTCTTTTTTTAATGGTTGTCAATTGTTCACGCACCGTAGGATATTCACTGATGACCTTCATCAACTCATATAAAACCGGTAGATCAAATTTTGATTCGTTCGATTCTATTTTACGCATACATTCTTCATATTGATTTTTAAGTTTCGACAACTCCAAAACCAATTCTTTATTTAAACCAGTTGATTTTTGAATTTCACAAATATATGTTTCTTCAAAGATCATTTGTTGTAAGCCATTGAAAAAAGGGTCATGTTTTGTAGAACATGCCGTATGAATAAGAAAATAGGCAAATTGGGCACTCATCTGGCATAAGTTATTTAGTATATCGCTTGTCTTGTTTCGATAATCAATGGAAGTTGTATTTGACCATCTGTAATTAAGAGTATAATCAATTGGCACATGTTTATCGACAGGGCACAAACACGTAGTACATCCATTGTGAATGTCATGCGTATCAGTAAAAAAAATAAAAAATTTACCCATTTCTTTAAGTTTTCCTTTACAAGAATGACAACGAGTAGCTGTTAAATGAAGAGGTCTCGAATATAACTCAATGTACTCATTCATTTGATCATTCTTACATAAGAGAAAATTTCTCAAGATATTTCTCATCGTTTCTAGTATTGGTCGAATTGTGTAAGTTATTTCAAATTGAGCATGTTTGATCGATTGCCATCCATTCTCTATATAATACACCGTAAGTTTGTTCTCAATATAATCAATCAAACGGTTTGATTCTTTGACTGACGTTGACCAACTCATTTGATATTCTTTTTTTTCTTCATCAATAAATTCAATTTCATTTCGTAAAGCAACTAAATATCGAAATGATTCACTGTCAAAACAGAATGTATTCTCTTGTTTAAAACTTATATTATTCGTCGATAATGATGCCAACATTGTTTTGAGTAATGGAGCTGTATTGCCAGGTGTATAAAAAGTTGATCGAGCATTAGTGAAACAAAAAATAATATTTCTTTGAGCTGTTGGAGCAAGAAAAGAAAATAATTGCATAAAACATGTACGAAAAAAGATATTCAATCTTGATGAATTTGGTTTGAGAAGAAAACAAATAGCATGCAAATATGTAAGATTATTCATATATTGTAAAATATATTCCATATTTCGTTCATCTTGATCAACACCTCGTGTATCACCAAAACCAGGTGTATCAATAATGCGCAATTTTCTTCTCCTATTATTATCACTACGCTTGAGATCAAACGTATAAGATTTACAATGTTGCGTGACTGATTGACCAACAGTGTTGAAATTTTCATTATTATAACTATCAATTTCGCCAAATTTGACTGTACGTTCTTCAAAGTTCTCACCAGTCGTCATTATAAATGATATAGGAATAACTACAATCGGTTCATTTGATTCGGCTTGTTCCAATGATTGAAATATAAGATAATTGGCGAAAGCATTGATAAAAGTTGATTTACCAACACCAGTTTCACCAAGAAGAAGAATATTAATAGTTTCATCGTTTGACACTAACGGTGATGCAGATAATGGTACTGTTGGAGGACTCTGTGGTATACTATCTAATGAGGAGACATTCTGATTTGTATGATTTTCACTATAATCAATATTATTTGATGGTAATGCTACCATCTCATCAGGTCGAAACGAACAATTAGAAAAATCAACACAAGTAAGGCTTAACGTCGAATTACTTTGGTGTTTTTCAGATATTTGTCTTAAGTCAGCCAATTTCGAAGAATTGTTTTCGTTTAAAGTATCATTGGAACAGGGAAACAACTTATGTTGATTACTTCTTAACAATTTGTGCTCAACCGTCTTCAAACCATCGTTTTGGTCAATATTATTTTCAGCTTCATTCATATAATCAAAATGTTGCTGCTGTAAATTTGTGATCAAATGTTCTTTTTTTTCTAACTGTGTTAAAGTTTGAGTTAATTGATTAAGACCGGCTTTTAGTACTTGTTGAAAATTACCAAGGAGCATTTGATCGATTTCGCATGTTTTTTCTGCGCCACTGCGAAAATCAACTACTAATTTAGCCAATCGTTGAATATTTCTCTTATATTCATCTTTAATGTTAGACAATTCAGTACGAGCTTTGTAAAGTTGATCGGCAAGGTGTTCGTCAAACAAATTTGGTATATTTTCATTCAGGAATGTCTCTGCATATGTAATGGAATTTCTTAGTTCTAGTGGATTTTGTTCGATTCTGTTGTTGAGTGAAGATGATAAAGGTCTAAATTTTTCAGCTTTTTTTGCGTGTAAAGGATACAAAGATTTTAAACTTGTTTCGCTTTCTTGTGGGTCTAACATTGTGACCAGTCGAAGAGTATAGTTTAATGGAAAACGAATCCGTCTACATTGTTTGATGACATCAATTTCACGAAAAATATCAACAACTGAGGTTAAATTTCTCAAACTAGGTGCATTTGAATAAATTTTTATACGAGCGAGGTTTCCAAGTAAATCATTATCATCAGAGGTAAGCCTCAAAATTCTGTGTCTATCTATCCGAACCTCATCCCGTATTTTTTCAAGTAAGTTATCAATCTTCTTGATAATAACATCTTCTGGTGGTAACTGTAGAACGATAACAAGATCGATTCCGAAAGTTATTGAAGTAATTATATGAGTAACATTAAGTTCAGGATCCCATATGTCGATATTGTCCAGGACGGATAACTCAGTTTCGAGATATTCACTTTTACCAAGAGCCCAAGAATAATATAAGAAGCGTGTATAATGATCTATACGATGAGGGTAATTAAGAACATCTGCTATACCAGATCGTTTCATTGTGTTCAACAATAAACTTAATCGAATTTCTGATTGGATACCGATGCATTTAAGAAGATTGAAATTCGAGTCCACAGTACCTGTTATAAGTTCGCATTTAATTGATTCAAATGACTTTTGCCACTGATGTCGACATTTTGAGTTGATTTCACCAATTAGAATATCTCGAAAACCATCATAGAGGGAGCCAAGACGTCCACTTGGATTAATAGCTCTATGCTCGATGACACCAGATGATTGTTCCGTTGACTTTTTTTCAAGTAATTTTGCCATATTCTTCAACTTATCCGATGAAGATCACTAAAAATGTCATAGATATAAATACGTTTACTTTCTGTAAATAAAAATTAATTTCTAAAAAGATCTGGTGCAATGTAGCACGAGCTAAAAATATGAATCAAATAATATTATTTGAGGTCTCTGAGATAAAAACTATCTTTAAATTTGTAGTAGTCTCGAATTTGAACACATACAATCTCATCATATTTGAAAATGAGAAATTAATTATTCATCAAATATTAAAATCTCAAATGAGCATTTATATGTATATGAAGCAGAATAAATGAAAACAATGGGATTTTAAAATATTTCAGATTATTTGAAAATGTAATTATATTAATATTTGAAAAAAAAAAGAAAAGTTTCATATTTCCTATTATTCTTTTTAAAAATGTTATCATAACAGTGTTTTTCATTCTCTATTTATAGACTTTAAGCAAAATTAGTAAATACAGAAACTTCTAACTTCTGGATAGAGAAGTTGACAATTTATTCTATCAATATATTACATAATCTGTCAAAAAGTTCTTATATTCAAGTAAAAAATATCATCATTCCTTCCTTTTCTATATGTATTCATACCGAGTATTTCTCAACACAAATGTTGTGAAATTTGAAAACGTGTCATGCGGTCTTCAATGTAATAAATACGATGTAATAGTTTTCTTTTTCTTTTCTTTATACTTCTTGTGCAAACAAGAAAACAAAAAAAATGCAAAGGTTTAATTTTATAGTAATGTTTTTAACAGAATGAAAAAATTCTCATCGAATAGGATATGGGTATGGATATAGGCATTAGTGATGGGCCAAAACTCTTACGTCAGAAACGAAAGAGAAACGAAAGAACGAAAAAAAAATTCTTGCGACTATGACGTAAGGAAGACGTAATTTTTCTTTCCTTTCTGTACGAAATTACGGTATAACGTGTTACCAATGGCGAGCAAGATATATGTTATTCCGTAATTTCGTACAGGAAAGAAAGAAAATTACGTCTTCCTTACGTCATAGTCGTAAGAAATTTTCTTTTCGTTCTTCCGTTTTTCGCGTTAGAGTTTCGGCCCATCACTAATAGGCATAGAGAGAAACAAAATCCACGGAGCAACATATTTAGTATTTTTTATTCAAGACAGAACGCAACAAATAAAATGCTGTCAGTCACTTAGGGATTCAGAAGGGGAACGAAAGAAAGAAAAGCAACAAGTCTTGTTATTCATCATTTGCTCATCTAGAAACCAGAAAATTGGTTTTCGAGGTACTGATTGCTAAAAAGTCTTTTCCGATAAGCTGTTCACAAGGATTTAAAACGTAGCTACTCTGAAAGAACATTATTTCAATTATTCATAGATGTTCTCTAATATAGTTTACCTATAATCGTTCAGAAAAAGTTCAACTAAACCCCTCCCTATAATAGAAGCCCCTCCCATATTAGAAGCCCCCTCACTTTTAAAAACTTTTTGAAAATTTTTTTTGTGAATTTTCATCATAAAACTTTCAAAATTCAACATCTTAAGGTAAGAATTTGCTTGATTTTCTTATCTATCAGCATAAAAATCTTGAAACCTCTTAGAAAGGCGTTTGAACAACTCTTAAAAATTCTGAAAATCTCTAAAACCCTTTGAAATTGTTCCATTGAGTAATAATAACAATGATTTTACAGGAGTATATAACGTTACTGTTTAAATTTGGTAGAAAGAAACAAAAGTTATTTTCAAACTTTTTGTTTTCTTTTATTTCATATCGACGTTTCGATGTATAAGTCTTCATTACCGAGATATAGAATGAGATTGTTACAAAGATAGAAAATTTTACATAGAACAAAATAAGAACAAAAGCCTTCTACACAGTGCACGAACTTAATTTGAATTCAGCAGCGTGATTGGTGCAATAATGTTCAAGTTATCTCGAGAAGATGATTTAACTCTTAATGCTCCAATCACGTTGCTTAATTCAATTTGAATTAATTTCTCGTCGTCTAGTATGTACAAAGTCAAAGAGAAGAAATAGAGACGTTTATAACGAATAGAAACGAATTATAAATAACTCTACAGCATATGGAAAGAGACAAATGAATGTCTCCTTTGTTCTTATTTCGTCCTATGGAAAATTTTCTATTTTTGTAATAATCTCTCATTCTATATCTCAGTAATGAAGTTTTCTACTTCGAAACGTTGACATGAAATAAAATAAAAAAGAAAAATTAGGAAAAAGGAACTTCTGTTTCTTCCTATTAAATTTAAAAAATAATGTGATAGGCTGTTGAAAAATCATTATTATTATTTTTAAAGCTATTTTCCACAAATACACAAAATTTTACATCTAAAAGTATTGAAAAATTTTAGGACTTAATAGAAGCCCCCTCCGAAAACTTTGGATGATGGACAGTTTAGAAGCCCTGGGGGCTTCTAAACTGGGGAGCGGTTTAGTTTGTTTCTAAATATTTTCGTTTTCACTTTACAAGCAATTCTATGATCGATAATACTTCACATATTTCCAGTGATAGATTTACTTATACATTTGATTTGGGTTGTGGGTGTGGGTGTGGGTGCGGGTATGGGTGTGGGTGTAGGCCTGGTTGTGGATCTTCTGCACACACACACGCACGCCCAAACCTACACCCACACCACCTACACCCACACCACCCACATCCAGAGCCGCACTCACCAACTGCGCTGGTCTGGTGTCAATGGTGTCTTTGGGAGTCATGCGGAGTTTCCTTAATTTGCATCGAGTCTGTTGGAGTCATTTAAGATTATTCGATGTGGTGTGGGTGTGAATGTGGGTGTCGCGGTCGGTGTGAGTGTTATTCTCATGTAAATCTATACATACACATCAACATCGGACAACTCTTTTAGCGCCATTATTTTAATAAAAAATATGCAGATCAACAAATCTTTCGCAGATTAGTTGCTTTATAAGGAAATCGATCGTCAGAGAATTTTTTTGCGTTTTTATTTCTACTTTAAGCGCAGTTGTTTTCGTTTCGTGTGGGCGCTCCTTTTCTTTTTGCTTTTTGTAGTGTTTCTTTAATTCCATTTTTGTTTGCTTTGTGTGTTTTTGCTGGGTGTGGGTGTGGGTGTGGGTGGGTGTGGGGTGTGGGTGGGTGTGGGTGTGAGTGGGTGTGGGTGGGTGTGGGTGTGGGTGGATCTGGACGTTAGAGATGATAATACTAACATCCACACCCCACATCCACACCCACACCCACACCCACCCCAAAGTATTCACTTATGGAAATAAGTCACACCAGCTAACTGCAGATAGATATTCTTGTTTCTAAATTTCTTCAAGTGAAGTTTCTTTTTTCTAAACTATAACGACACTAGTATGTTTAACTACTCAATAGTATTACCAGATTGCTAACACAAACTCATCATAAATTCTCATTTTTTCTTTCAAAACATCGTAGATGAAGTTTGCTAAGAAAACAAAACGAATAATAGCAATCCTTGGTGAAAAAAATGAGAGTAGACTTAGATTCAACCTCTGACCCTTCATTTGTCTTTTCCAGTCTCATCAAAAAAGTTATCATTAATAATTAAAGTAGATTCCAGATTATGATTCTGCACTCTTCACTGTCTACCGCTAATATTTTGAAAAATATTAAAAATTAATTAAAACTAACCACGGATTCGAATTTCCTACCTTCGATAACCGTTTGGTCAACTTTTCCGGGTAATCCCTCTCATCTTCAACTTGTTTTTGGACCAATCACTGAACTGCGGACATAGAGGCGAGGACACCATTTACTCTTGTTTGAACAGACTCTATACTTTTCTCTGAACAACTTTTACCATTCAAGAGACTTTTGCGCCATCTTCAATGTAACAATATTTCGATATTATCTCAAAAAAAGGTTTTAAAAAAAATTGATACACTACATTCTCAATAACTGTGAAACATTATTCATACATATCGAATTATTTTATATCATCTTTGCCTATGGGTGTGGGGTGTGGGTGTGGGTGTGGGTGTGGACGTGGGTGGGTGTGCGTGTGGGAGTGGGTGTGTCCTTATCTCTTTCATCTACCCACACCCACACCCACCCACACACCCACACCCACACCCACCCACACACCCACACCTGCCCACACCCACACCCACACACCCACCCTTTACATTGCGCTAATATGATGTAATTACTGTGATTGACTAACTCTTGTCCTTCTTCTGTTCAACAAAATCTGTTCTATTTCTTGTGGTGTAACTTTCATTGCTCTCTCTCTCTTTATGTATATCTTTTGTGTTTTCTTTCTATCTCTCGTATAATCGTGTGAACGAATTCATCACTATATAAGGAGATGAAGAAAGTAAGAACAGACAGCATTTCCTTTGTGAAACATTCTTGGAAATGTCTCCGGGGGCAGACTCGAGGATAAAATAGTGAAGATAACATCGATGATATACTGAATATATCGATAGTACTATTCTTCCAGTTTGTCCATTTTGATCACAATTAAATTTAATGAATAAAAGAAATACTGTAGCCATAACATCTTAACATCATAATCCGTCATTAACTGTTATTTTTCGTTACATCCACACCCACAACCAACCACACCACACCACACCCCCGTATTTCATAGTATAAACTCTATTGATGTAAGGATCGATTTTCTCTGGGAGATCCTAATCTCTTGCTGCACCGTGAATGCGGACCTCAGTAAATATCATATATCTTTTTTGCAAGAAACCTTACATTTCATAATTTATTCAATAAATACTCTTTACCATTGAATCTGTTTATATTGAAATTATAAAGATCAATGCTCAATATAAATAACTATTTTATTAGTTGATATTTTTGGAGATGCAATTAAAGGAAAAGTATTACTTATTATTGATATTAATAAGTTTCTGTTGTTCCTTTTTCTTAATATTTGCTGTGTATACTCTCATAGAGAAAAATTTTCCCCATTTTGTTAGCATATAACATACTTATGGGTGTGGTATTTAAAACAGCAACACAAATAGTAGTTACCTAATTTGAAGATTTTACTGTAAGATTAGAACAACGATATTTTCTTCAACTTTTTTCAAGTATTATAAATAGTATACATGATTGTTTTATTGATGCAGTTAATCATGAGTCTTTTTATTATAATGTTTTCATTTATGCATCAAAAATTAATATTTTATGTTCTGAAGAGCTCCAGAACAAAAATTAAGACACTATTTGTTCAAACTTTAAAGTTAAGCTTTATGAGCAGACAAATGAAAACCGTTTTGGATTCGCTCACACACTATCTTTTTTTCTGCATTTCAATGCAGTTCAGACGGGCACGACACGAAAGATTAGTTACAAAGGCTTTGAAAAGAATCATAGTAGACTACCAATATGATCAAGACGGGAAATCACCATAGATGAGCATACGACATATTTAATCTTTTCCACATCATAATATTGTTTTTTCCACTCTTCATTCCCCAGTGAAAAAAAACCTAGAAGCTTGTCTTTTACATGAAGAATGAGTTCTATGGTTTAGTGAACGTTGTCACAGGTAAAGAGATAAGTTAGTTAACATTTTCTTAGAAAGTGCCGTGTGAATAAATTCTTGTGATTGATGAACGTTTTAATCTGTATTTAATATCACTTTTTATTCAAAAAATGGTGACAAGGTTTGTGTTTATCTACTGAATAAATATATTGTCTTCTTTGATTATCTTCTAATGTTGGAGGAAATCGATTAAATGATAAACCAAATAATATAAGAATTTCATTTCGTTGTTTTCTAAATAACCATGAATATCAATTTTTCATTTTGAAAGTAATATCAATATGTTATTCTTCATCCATTTTTATTGAGCGAGTTGATTCAAATGTTGATGATGAATATACTGACAAGTCATTCACCAATATTTGTTTTTGTTAATAATGAACAACCAAATAAATTCCACTTTTTTGTATGATATAAAATACGATCTAATCATGATGATGTACGAAGCTTGTTATTAATATCATAAACATCGCCATTAGAACCAAATTTATATGTTGACATAGAATCAATTAGGACTTCATAATAATTAGCGAAGATATACCGCACATCTAGAAGAAAACTTATATGAAATTATTAATTTCTCTCAAAAATAAAAAAAACCTTCTTTGCTTTTCTAAAGAGATAATTTTACAAAAGGCAAAAATCAACGTGAGCCTTGTAGACTTCACTCCAATGAATCAATCGAATGAAAATCTAATTTTATGTTTGTTTTTTTTTTTATAAAAATTTTTTTTCATTGAGTGACGTAGAATATTACAAAATTTGATTTTCTTCTAAGCAAGAGAGAATCAAATCAAATGATGAGTTGTTTTTAATTATTTTTATCTTTTCTATCATATTTAAAGTTTTCTATTTGAGGATGTGAATGTTCGTCGTCTTTTTTTGCCCACACGCACATCCATTCTTTAGTTGATAAAGTCGTTTTTGGAAAGTCTAAGATCAAATACAATTCGAATGGCTAAGCTATGATCTAGAGACAAATGGAAAACAACCTGAATCTACTAAAAGTTTTTCAAAATTATCGAAAATAATATTCCTAAAGGAAAATCAAGAGAAAAACCTTGTCTCTCATTAACACAAAGTTTTATTGGCTGTCACCACCAACATGGTGCGTCTTGTCCCCTGAAATACACAATTTTCTCTCGGTATGTAAATCGTCTGACGAGAAAAAGCTTGTTTTTTTTACATCACGTTTGACCAAATCATAGTTATTGTGTAATCCAAACAGTATATGAAGGTATAGTCGTCGGCACAGCAAAAATGACTCATTTTCTTCATTTTTATTATTTAGTCCTGACGTAAAAAAAACTAAGTATGACATAAAGCGTCACGCCAATGTGCACACAACGAAAAAAGAGAAACAAGTTGGAAAAATGATGAAATTTATGATTGGAATTATCCAACAATAAACGAAAAATATAAATTATTATTTGATTGCAAATGACTTTCATTATCTTTCTATTTGATTAAATGTGTAATTTAATTGTTTAATTACAAAGAAAAAATGTCTTCTTTATCACCAAATCAACCACTTTATGCAGATCCAATTATTGTTTTATCACCTCCAACTATTAATTCTTCGGTCAATGCGGTTGGAAATCAGCATTTGCCTAAAACTCGACTGCATTATATTTGGGAACGTTTTATAAAATTCCTTAATTATATACTTCCATCATTTATTATCTTTGTTTTACTGGTATTTACTATATACCAAATTGCTCTTGCTGGTTACAATTGTCGACTGCCAGATACAAATATTGGTTGGATACGTGCTGCCTTATTTATGAATATTCCATTCGTTTTGGGTGTATTATGCTACATCGTCGTCTTATTGGTGCAAAAAAAATCTCCAACTTATAGTCATATCCAATTGATGGCTTATAACTATTTCTATATCCTTATATATCATGCATATATTGATCGTTTTTTCTTCAACTCCGGCTATCAAATGAATGATGTACGCAAAGCATTAAATAATGCAACACTCTTAGCTTCGTTACCTTGTACTGAGAGTTATTATCGACAAGTATTTGGTGTCATGATTGCTCATTATGTCTCTCCTGTCTTTATTCTAATCATCTTATGTTGTTTGCGTCCATGTACGTCTAAGACTTCTTTCGGACTTACTGATAAAGTGATGGATAGATGCGATGAAATCATTCATGGAATTGTGAATAGATGGAGATATTGTAAGAGTGTTGTATATAGACGTCATACAAAAGAGATTTTTGTCGAAAATTTATAATTGTTAATCAAAAATGACTATCAATAAAATATCACCTCTTGATGAAAAAAAATACGCTCATATTTATATACTTTTTGAAATTATTCATGTACAGTTGAGAAATTTACATATTATAGTTGAAATAAGCAATTAAATACACTTCGTAATTTGTTTTGCTATTTATTAGGTATCATACATAAAAATTGTATATATTTTATTAATTTAAAAATACGTCTTATGCTAAAAGTCTAGAGTTATTCGATTTCTTCTCATTACTATTTTCTAATGAATTAATATAAAGACCATTGTCAGTAAATATAAAGATTGAAAATTAAAGAATTCATGATAATGTCTAAGCAAGTTTTTTTTAAATACACAGTGTTTATCAGATCGGACTATTAGTCATGAATCAAAAAATATTATAGAATATACAGAACTAAAAATAGGTTGAAAAATATAATATTGAGTCATTCACTTCTTACCTTCTATCGACGAAATATTTTTATTTTCCTTTTCATTTTACTGTCGTTTGTGTACATGCATACCTGAATTAAAAGAGATGACTAAAACACATTTGGATCGTTTACCAGTCGAATTATTTCACAATATTTGGTCTTATCTATCCGGCAGTCACATATTAAGAGCATTTTATTCGATAAATGACTATTTAAATAGTGTTCTCATTAGTTATAATAATTATCGATTCGATTTATCTACATTGGATATTTCAAAAAGTGAATTTGATCTTATTTGTTCGTTTCTAAGGCCAGAACAAATTGTTCGACTAAAATTTGGTAAAACTGCTTTTAATTTATTTGATCGATTTATATCGAGTATTTCAAATGGACAACGATTAAATTGTCTTTGTTCACTTTGGATTGATGATACAATCGTAATCGATGAATTATTGATATCCAGACTAGCGTCTATAATAAATTATGAAAATCTTATATCAATTCGTTTTGATCAAATTCGTTTTAATAATCATTTACTGTTAACAAAATACTCATTTAAATCACTTACACATCTTGTTACATCTTCGAGTGGAGAATTTCGTACTTTATTGCAAGTGATACCAATTCAGTTGACATTTCTACATATGTATTTTGATTCCATTAATGATATAGATGAATTTATTCGTCCGAATATGCATAAACTAAGATCTCTTGGTATTGGCATTCGATGCGATTCTTTTTATATTAATCAATTTATATTGCCTTTCAAAAATTATCAATGGACGCAATTAATACAATTCAATCTCAATATCAACGGTAAATCACAAAAACAAATATGTATATTTTTGACCGTGTATATTATGCGAGTGTAGATTTTCTTTTTACTCATAAATATATTCATAAGAAATAAAAAGATGAAAAATATGAAAATCAATAGAGATTGACTAGCCTAAGTGTAATAATATGAAAGATTTGATTTTGCATAGACCTATCCAAATCGCTTAACTTCGTATTGTAACTAGCACTAAACGTAGAGACAATCATTTTGTTAAATGTTTTTTCTTCATAATGGAATATTATAAATTACATAACAGAAAATTGCACTAAAACTTTTTCTAAAACGAAATGCTATATCAGTGTATCTTTCTTTTCACGGATAATATCGTTTGAAAAACTCATAGTAAGAAAAAATATATATTTATTTATGTGAAAATATGTAGAGACAGATGCCTTTTACCTATGAGTTTTCTCATCTTCCGTAAAGCAGTTATTTTAGATTTAATGGTTATTTGGAATTCGTGTGAAAATTGTTCAATAATAATAGCAATCAAACAGTACTACTGTTATCTATCGCTTTTCTTTCGAATAGTTTCTCTTGATATAATATAGAAAAGAATTGAATAATAGAGTAGAATACAGAGATGAACAACTCTCCATAGTTCAACTCTTTTCGTAGAGCAATTGTCTCGAAATTACATTCAATTTATAAAACAGATTGAATGTAAAACAAATAAACAAAACGTAGTTATCCAACAGTAACTTTATTTTTTAATTCTTATTATTCAGGTGATGTTAATCTTCGATTTCATATGTTACAAGAAATATTATCTCCAATGTATCATTTAAAATATATAACATTAATATTGAACAAAGCATTGAGAGTGAATGATAATATATTGAATGGAATTCAATGGAGATCGTTTTTATCGAAGGCACTCATTTTTTTAAAAACATTTAATTTCAAGTTTTCTATTCAACCTACATCTGAACAAGAAATATATATGATTTTGGATAGATTTAAGTCACAATGGTGGTTGAAAGACAAACAATGGTTTGTGGAATATGATGCCCATCAAAATGCTCTTATTACTGTACCTTATTTTGCTTCAAAAACTTTTGATAATAGTCAATCATATTCATTTGATTTGATGCAAAATCCTAAAATATTCTATTCGAATATCAATACCTTAAGTATCGACCTAGAGAAAGATGATGATTTCAAACAAATATTAATGTCTCAACCTATAAATCAACCACGTTTTAATCATGTAACAAAACTGTCATTAAATGGATACTTAACGACAGATATTTGTGATGCAATTCGAAATGATGTGAATCTTAGCATGATTCAATATTTTCAATTTTCGTCAAATGTTGGTACTAATGAAGCTTTTATTGAATTGCTTGAAAGTATAACAAATCTTTCTTCTATTCATTTACAATATTTACATAGCCTTGATCTATTTAATCTAATTTTATTTCCATATCATTCTCTTCGACATCTTGTTATATTTGATTATGAACCAACAACAACAAAAAAACTTTACTCTCGTATATGTAAACTTTTTCCACGATTAACTCATTTAACAACAGATTATCATTCACGACGAAATTTACGGTATTTGTTAAAGAAACTTATTCATCTTGAAGAGATTACTTTACGTTTATCTCAAGATCAACATGCTCCAAGTCAATCTTGGATCACACAATATACTCGATGGCGAAGAGACTCCTTTGAATTAAGAGTATTCAAATCTGCTAATGGAGAAAGACGGCTAGTGTTGTGGATCAATACCAATAAGAATATGGAAGAGCGACGGCATTCTTTTAAAAAAATGTTTCATACAATAACTGATATCAAATTACATTCTGTATACAATTAATATTTTCACACTAACTTTCAATAGAAAAATTGTAGATTAATTCTGCAAAGTTTTATGAGAAAAAAAATCGCTAGGAGGTGTTCAGTTTGAACATATAAAATAAAAATAATCTAGATATGGCAGTTGGTTGTTCACTAGTTACAAATCAATAGAACGAACACACATATCTTTTGGAAGCAAATTTATCTTTTAATTTAGTTTTATGCCATCAATGAGCTCGATCTAAACATTTTCTTCAGTAGTCTTTTCTCCTTATATTGGTATTATTTGAAAGTTTTTTGCTAATTAATTTCTTGAATGAATGTTTTAAAGATGTATTTAAACCAAAAGCTTGAGGGTGTGGATAGGTGTGGAGTGTGGGGTGCGGGTGTGACTGTCATCTTTTCTTATGTCTAGATACACACCCACACCCATTCGGAAGAAAAAAAGAAAAGTTTAATTCAATCAATAACGTCGATCTGTATTATAAAAAAAACATTTGGTGTGTGTACCTTTATACTTAGAAGTTATTTGGAATTGATCCACCATATAGTTAGAAGAAGTGGAAAATTTATTAAAAACGAAAAAACTTGATGACAAAAAACAAAGTCAGAGTCCTATATTGTTCATTCTTTTTTTCGTTTATAATTTGTAATTCCTTTAATGGAGACTGAAACTCTAAATACTCGTTTTTTCAATGGTTTCTATGCTTTTCACAAATGACACACATGTTGTAGCATAGATGAGCTACTGCAATGTCTAGTAATTCAACCAATCGACGCAATTTTTATTTAATACTGATATTTTTTGTATTGTACCAAATCCGATAAGAGAAAAGATCTTATCAACATCATGAGAAATGCTGCCGATATTTAATGTTTATCTAGCTCATCTAAGTAATGTTTTGTATGCTTATGTGTTTCACTAATGAGGTAATTGTCTACATGCTGCAAAAACCTCAGAGAACAGCATATTGTATGAGTTTATAATCAGTGACCACTCATTGGAAATAGTATAAAACTTTCCAAAAGTATTTTAATAGACGCCAACATCGATCGCTATATTGAAATAAGGATCCGCTCATGTTCTTGAAATGTCGTTTTCTTGCCTAACTTTAAATTATTTTCAAGTGTCTACAGTTTGAAATAAATAAGAATCGGAAGCTCTAGATTTTATTATGGTCTCAGCAGAGAACACATAGATCGATAAAGTAACTTGAACTATTTAAAAAGCAATAGAAAATGAAACATTTTTTGTAATATCTACGAGTAATCCTAGATACAAGACAAGAATTCTTAATATATGGTCGGATAGTATATACTATTCAAACTAGACATTCGGAATGATTACTATAAAACGACCTGCATTCGAAAAGGTGTTTTGATATGAAGACAATAACTAAAAAGTGCTCAATACGTGTGTAGTTCTTATTACTGCGGAGATAAAAGTTATGATCATTAGGCGTAGATAAAATCTCTTGCAGAGAAGCAAAAAAACACCAAAGTATTTTAGCAGAAACGATTTATAAAAATTTCTATATTTTAATCATTTTTTATCGAAAATCCTGTATTTTAGACGAACTTGATCCTCTAAGGATTCATATATTTTCACAAAAATCGTAATCGGAGGGCAGCTGTTGAAATAAAAGGGCGATTCTTAACTACGTACAAGAAGAATATTTACAAATATAAAATTTATTAAGATGGAATGACGTCTTATACTCACAAGATATTAACGTCAGCTTAGCATTCCAAATATGAAATTGATACTTTTCAGAAAATTACATAGCGGCTGAGGCATCAATTAACCATCCCCTTCCGCAATAAAAAAAAACCGGAATCTTTTATTAAATTAAAATCTGCAAATTTTTAGAAGGGGTTTTCTATTATGTCTGAGTGCTGATATAGTCAAATCATTACTCCTTATTGACATATAGTTCCGTTAATTCGCTCCTTTTTCGACGAAAATGCATAGATAAGGTACTATTTGATCTTCTTTCCTATTCTTGTTTCTATGCTCCAATAAACAAAACTCAGCAATAACTAAGCACAAATTACTTAAAGTTCAAGTCCTTTTTCAAGATCCAAGTGTTCTATTTTTTTCGGGGAGTTACATGATTATGCTGCAGGATACATCGAAGAGGAACGAACTCTTCGATGTTCACTAGTGATCTATAAAACTCTATGCAAAAACTTTGAATTTTACAACACTACCCGAAAAAAAAACTTCTTTATTAACAAAATAGATGAATACAAAAAAAAATACAATATTAAACAACATATTCACAATGTTTTCAAATCAAAGAGATACAGTTTATTGTTTTTAAAAATTGCAAGTCTGCTATCTCTGTATGAATAGTAACGTGGATCTTGTACTACCACGTGACTGCCATCTTCATAGGTAAAGTGCAGTGGACGAAGAAATTTAACATCTTTTCTTCCAGCTTCTAACTCCAAAAGGTAAAATAAATTATATTTTTCATAGCACTTTTGAAGAAGTAACTTATTCTCATAGACCAGAGGTGTGCTAATACCCTTAAGATTAAGCATCCAATAGTCAGCTATCGTATTATTAGATATCTTCACCAATGGAAATTCAACATAGTAGCAAATCCATACATCTCTTTCGTTTACAACATTCATGCCATAGCAATCAGCCATAGAATTCAAACCACTAACGGTAGGGTTATATTGGTAAATGCTATGACCTCGATCATTCCACTTTACCAGTCCGGACTCGCCTATGCATTTGCCATCCGGACCTAAATTTCCAAATACGCCCTCATCACAGTATGATGTCCATATAAAGCCATCCTTGTCCGTCTGAACTTTTTCAATTCCATCACCCAATAGTATTTGAGTAAGTAGATTGCCCGCTTTATCGAATATTTTTCCGTTACGATCTACAGTACCATTATGATAGAATTTGCACCTGGCAGCAACGAGAAGAAAACGATCGCCCGGTAAAAGTTCCACAAAAAGCCAATTGCACCTTATTTCGAAACCTTCGTTTGGTCTGCATTTCAAATCTAATTTTGGGATCTTTACTTCATGTGAGTAACCATTTTCCACATTCAAATGTAATATTTTTAAAAGTTCCGTTTCTTTCTTACACATCAAAAAAAGAAAGGAACCATCATAACATAAAGTAAAACTAAGTACTTCCCAATTGTTTAATTCTTTAGAACAATTTCGATAAACCAATAATCGATGATTTTCAATTGTTTTACTAACAATACCTGTATAAATAGAAGCATAAAAAAGTATTTTCGATTATTAAATACTAGACAAAATCTTATTCTCGATTTCATATGTGCCATGCACGTGGTATTGCGCAATTAAATGGATTCAAAGTGAAAGAAATTCCTAGTGAACACTCAAAAGTATAGTCATTAAATAAAGAGATTTAGTGAAAATAAACGGATCTATATGAGTATGATCAAATCTCCATACTTTTGATACAGACTCGAAAGTTTCAAGAGACCAATGAAATCATAATGGCCAAAAAGTACATCTAAGCGTATTCAATAATTTGCTAGATAATCGAACTTATATAATCGTTTAGTTATCCTATTTGGGTTTTCAGTTTGCTTTCTAAATATGCAGAATTTTATTCGATAATAGCATACAGTTCTTTAAACGACTTAGTGACAATGTTTCATCAGAACATTGCAAAAATACAAGCGATAATATTGCGGGATCTTTTTGTCGCATTTATCGACGCAACAACTCGCTTTTTATTTAACTAAAGTATTTTTATTATCTAACAATTAACATAATGCTTAATTATCAATGGGATACTGGTTTGGCTAGATTCTCGTTCACTAGTTTTGTATTGAAAAAAAGTTCTTGTTTACGCATTACTAAGGTTACTCTCATCAGTATGTTTACTAGCGTATTGTAAAAAGCAAACGAACAACCACTGTAAAAGTTTATAAAGTGAAGTGAAGCTACTTACTACGGAATGTAGACATATGTGTGTAGATGATTTTCCTTGTAATTATAATTGAAGATAAATTTCTTTTTTCTCTTTAAGCTCGAGTCACACTGAAAAACAAAGAAAGTGCACGCTATCTAAAGAACAATGCTTGTGCACAACAAAAGACTAAATCACCAATGACGATACAGTATGTCCTCTATTGTATAAACAATCAGCATAGGTTCACATAAGTGAGCCAAAAAATATGGCTGACTTCATCTAACGGAAATTAGCCAATAGGATACACGTTCATGTTTTAGCCGAACTTATTCATTTTGTTTTCTATTATTGAGGATATACACTATATAATGCCTTTAACTGTTACGTTTATTTTGCTTTGTATTTCGAATGTATGAAACCATTCGATCTCTTATGTATGAAGAGACTGATAATCAGTGCTTTCAAAAATTTCCATCGTTAGTAATCCAAAATATAGTGTCTGATGAATTATATCGGCTAACAACCTTTGTAGCGGTACTAGATTCATGCGAAGAGTTCGATGAATCAGTTGATATTGAGTTTATTTCATAACTAGAAATAAATTAGTGCTAGTGAAATTTTCCAAAAGATCTTTACAGTGATCTGCAAGACCCTTTACAAATATTTGAAATATAATTAACAATTAAATTCGAAAATGTACTTAAACAATTCACGAAAGAAATGAGAAAAGTTCTTGATACTCAATTGCGTATTATGTCTCATTTGAGTCGATTTTTTGTTATACTTGCTATCAGAAAGTACAACGATGAAAATCAAGATACAACTGATTATTTTTCTTTGGTTATAATATCATGTACTAGTGAACAGACGAAGCGAGATTAGGATATAGATTTAAAAATTGTTGGTTTGCAATGCTAGAATAATAACCTGGATAGAACTTATCACTTAGTAATAAATTTTGCCATAGATTTATTTAACCCATTTTGGTCGAATGTCATTACAACTTTCTGTTACAAAAAAATCAAAACTCTCGAAATCCTCCTGCTGAAAACCAGATAGGTAGTCTATATGTTTTTGCTTTTTACAAAAGTTCCCTTATAGTT